AGGGCCCATCACTCAACCTCCCTAAGCCACGTGCTGGGGCAGTCACACCTGTGTGTGCCTTACAGACTCTGCATGACCTGCAGGTCCCAGTGGAGGGAGGCCCGTACATCCCTGCGTCGCTCTGCATGGTGGTCTGACTACTGGAGGAATGTTGGCCTCCAGGCCAAGATGCCCACCATCCCCTGAGGTGCTGGGCCACGTCCTGCTGCCTGAGCCCCTGCTACCTCCCCACATGGTAGGCAGTGTGTGGTCAGTGAGGGGGCACTGTCACCCCTGTGACTCACGTAATGTCAGGTGAGAACAACAGCCTTCATAGCCCACAGTGCTCATGGGCATTCCCACAGCACTCAGGACGCGCCCACAGTGCTCACAGACATGCCCACAATGCTCATGGACATGCCCACAACACTTGGGGACACACCCACAGTGCTCGGGGACACGCCCACAGTGCTCATGGACATGCCTACAGCACTCAGGTACATGCCCATAGCACTTGGGAACATGCTTACAGTGCTCACTGACACACCCACAGTGCTCGGGGACACACCCACAGTACTTGGGGACATGCCCACAGCACTCCGTGGTATGCCCGCAGCGCTCATGGACACGCCCACAGTGCTCAGGGACATACCCACTGTGCTCACAGACACGCCCACAGCACTCGGGGACACGCCCACAGTGCTCAGAGCATTGGTACTGGATGCCAGCATTGGGCTCCAGAGGGCAACCTGGCAGCTCGGGTCCCGCCTCCATTTGCCCGACCTCTGCTGCACCGCCGGTTGTATATGGGGGCGGGCCCCTCACGCTTGTCCTCGCTCCTTCCTTGTGCTGTCAGGTGGTGCGTGCTCCCCAGCCCACCGCCCCACTGGCTTCTGACCCACAGAACCTCCTCGGGCCCCTGTGCTGAACACGTTCCGGTGCTTCTGGGCTCCTGCTGCTGGGGGCACACATCCCAAACCAAAACTGGGGGCACATCTTTGGCAGGGCGTGTGTGCTCACTCTGACTGAGAGACAGAGGCTGTGTCACCCCAGTGTTGGGCGACTGTCACCCCGATGTTGGGTGGTGGGGTGGTTTGGCTGACTGCTGGCTGCAGCTTTAAGAGAAGGAGACAATAAGCCGTTCTGTCCCCAGAGACCTGACTTCCCAGAGTCGGGGATCTGACCGTGCCGCCCTTCCCAGCTTCCTTCCGGCCATACCCTGATCCTCTTTGTAGCTGGCCATTCCTGCCGCCAGGCCTGACCCTCCCTCGCCCCGACTAGGCCCGTGTTTGGCTGAGTGTGATGCCAGGCAGGCTCACTGCCGCTCAGCCGGCTGTGGTCACCATGCCCACTGGATCCTGGCCTGCAGCCCCCAACAGCGATGCCTTGTGACGTGGGATAGCCGTCCACACTCGAAGGGCGTTGGGATCGTTGCTGCCCCTGCGTTTACAGAGGAGCCCCTTAGACCCGGGGGGGCGGGGAGGGCACTGTTCCCGTGGTTCGGCAGAGCGCAGGAGGAGGGCGTTTATGGAAAGCAGGCTCAGGACTGCTTGTCCCTTTGTCAGCCTGCTGCTGAGGCCAGAGGCGCTGGGCTGTGTGGGCGCTTCCGTGAGCTGACACCCAGATAAGTTCTGAGCAATGGCCGCCTCGTCAGGAGAACGTCCTGTGAGCTCAGGGCGGCGGCCCGGGGCGCCTGCAGGCCATGGACGTGCCTGGAGGACAGGGCTGGGCCTCAGAGCACAGCCAGTCACCTTCCCTCGGTCTCCTCTGTTCTCATCTGAGCTCCGTGCAGTCTGAGGAGCCAGTGAGCGGCCCAATGAGAGCAGAGTGGAGCCGGCCGGGCTGAGGACTCCATGTTTGGGGTCCGGTGAGTGGTCAGTGCAGAGCCCTGGTCATGGCTTGGTCCCTTTGCAATGACCAGGAGCCTTCACTCTGTGCAGTGCAGGGGCCTGAGCCTTGGGTTCGGCTCTTGGTGGGCTGAGCCAGCTGGGGAGGGCTCTAGGCCAAGAACACGGATGCTGGCGGTGGGTGCTGTGGGGCCATGGGGGCTGAGCACTTGGGCTGTGGGGGCTGGAGGTGTGGGAGCCATGGGGCTGGAGGACCAGAGGCAGGGGTGCTGTGGGGGCCGGGACGGCAAGCAGAGGAGTGGAAGGGATAGACTGATGAGGGGAGCGCGGGAACCACAGAGGGCAGGGGTCGTCTGGGACAGAGCGGGCAGGGCCCAGGCAGCTGCAGGAGGGGCTCTGGTGAAGCTGGCCCTGACGGTGCAGCCTCATTACCGAGAGCTGAGCAATGGAGACCAGGCCAGGGAGGCCCACCACGGGGTGCACCGGGAGTAGTCAGCAGGGCGGCGATGTGGTCCGGGTGGCATGGTGGGAAGATGATCAGATGCAGGATGAGATCAACAGTGGGGACTGTGACAGGCCGACTCAGCAGCCCACCCAGGGCAAGCGGGACAGGGGCCTGAACCAGGTGTGACTTGTGCCAAACTCAGGGTGGTAGGGGACAGAGAGAAGGGGCAGATTCAGCGTCTGCGAGGGGCTGACCACTGAGTGTAAGGGGGCATTTAAAACCGCCAGTGACATAAGCCAGCCTCTAGTAAGCATCACTGCTGCTGTTACTGGGTGCCGGCGAGTCAGTTCTGAGTCATGGCGACCATGTTGCAGAGAAGAGCTGCCCCACGGGGTTTCCTAGGCTGTTTGTTACCTTTATGGAGACCCATCCCCAGGCCTTTCTCCCAAGGAGCTACGGGGGGGGGGGGGATGCTTTGAACTGCTGGCCTTTTGGTTCCTAGCTGAGCACTTACCATTGCACCAGGATGGTTTCTTAGTAAACAAACCACCAAACCACACCCACTGACTTTCTGGTTAGCAGCAGAGCGCCTTAACCACTGCACCACCAGCGCTCCTTGTTTAAAGCACAACCTGGACAAAAGGGTGAAAACAACAGGCCTCTTCTCTCATAGGAAGGGGGGATTTATATATTTTGGGAAAGTATAAGATGTCTCAAGATGACATAAAAATAAAACACTGAATGGACCCATAATTCTGGAATAAATGTTATCAAGAGTCTTACTTCCAAATGTGGTACCAAGGCCAGAAAGTGTCTTCTCGCTGAGCTCTGGGACACTTTAAAAACCCTTCTGCTGCCCAGCCTGCCTCAAGCGGGCAGTGGCCTGGGACGCGGGCACTTCCTTTACAAAGCCCGATGCCAGGCATGCCCTTCCGCCGCCGAGACGCGCCTGGACGGCCACTGGCTTGAATCCCTGCCTACCGTGCATCGCAGTCTTGACTGCTGACGGCTCGCTGCGGGGCCTGTGTTAGTGTCCAGGTGCACACGCACGTGTGGATGCACACACACACACGTACATGTGGAGAGATGTGTGTGTGCACAGACACGCTGCAGACACTGCACTGACGTGGGAAGGTGCACACACGAACATGCGGGAAGAGCGAGCTCCTCATTAATGTGAAGGACAGCACATGTCAGAACGAAACATCACGTGTGTAGATACAAACATCCTTCATAAAGTAGCCGTGAACCTACTAATTCATTGAGACATTCAATTAGGACACAGTCCGTCAAGATGTATCTTGCCCCTGGAGTTTTGAAATGGCTCAGCACTGGTGAATCTGTGCGTCCTGGGGACGGATTCCCACATTAGGCTCCTCGTGAGAAGAGCTCACACGGCTGCCGGTGGTGGCACCGCGGTGACCATTCCCCCCACGACAGAGCCGCACAATAGAAGGGAAGGGCCACGCCAGCGGGGTCTGGAGGAGTGCCCCCTCGCAGGGTCACCTGGAGCGAGCTCTCCCTTCACGGCGAGATGCGGGCCTGTTTCTGCCTCAGGAAGCCAGGACAAGCCTTTCCCACCAGAACTCCAGGGACCCAGAGGCAAGCAGCACCCCAGAGTCCGGGAGGCTGGCATACAGACACAACCTGTCACCCCGGGGACAGTGCGGGCGTCCAGTGCCCAGATGCCAGTCGGCCGTCGTGCAGCCAGACCTGCCTGGAAGCTTCCCTGCCGTCTGGATACAGACTGGCAATGTCTGAGAGACTCAGCAGCTGCTCCCAGGCTTA